GTATGCAAAGGCACACCCGAGTTTTGGTTAAGTGGAAGGGTTATGACGAGACAACCTGGGAGCCAGAGAATTTTCTCAAGGACGAGTCCAGAAGAAACATTGCTCCACTTGTGTTCTTAAGTATTTCATTCTATTCAATGGACGGTACACCGCAGAGCAGCGGCCTACAGCAACAAAAGCAAAAGGTGCAACCTGTGCCTGGCAGAGAAATAGGCAATCGCGCAAGCACCCAAGCACCTCTCTCTCAACAAAAGGAGTGAGCTTGTGTCGAAGTGTCGCCATGAGAATAGGTACTACCTTCGGAACTTTAAACCAGCTACAGCCATCACCTAATTAAGTAAGAGACAACCAGCTCCAGTGGTTGTCACCTTTCACCACTGCTGTCATTCACGCTTTGCACTGCAGCTATTTACACTTTGCTTTGTGAGGATATAAACCAATACTGATCCAGATTTCCAATTACTGTTTTCTGATGATCGCTTAGTGCGTGAAACTCTGAGTAAAAACACTTCCTCTGTCCTCCTATTGTTTGAACCAGCTCTACCACTCGGTATTGAGCACTCTCTTGGACAGCCTGGAACCTCTCTGTTTTACAGGTCGCTCCCCTGTTCCCAGGGTTGAGCACTTTCCCTGGCTGTTCAAACTCGAGGATGGACAACCCAAGACCGCTACATCTGGATTACTCACTGAAGAACATTCCCATCCCTTCAGAAAACGCCTACACTACGAGGCTGATCGAGAAGGTTGAAAGCGTGTTGAAGCGGATGCGGTGGAAGGCGTTTTTCTACCTGAAAGGACCGACAACCGACGATCCAAAAGAAACCTATGGCCTCAAATCCAGAAAATGCCCGCCCCAAGTCGACGAACTGAAGGCGTTCGAGGACGATGCGTTAAAAAATGATTGAGATGATTGAGTTTCGTAGAGTCGCTGATCCCTTTCAGCAACGACTCCGAAGCGACATCCAGAAAATCAGAGCATCACTGGACATCATCGTGCCAGCTGACAAGACCAGAAACCTCTACGAAGTCAACAACGAGCAGTACACAAAACTGCTGAGCAACAACATCACCAAGCATTACAAACCTACACCGGCAGAGACTTACGACCAGATCAACTCGGAAGCTCAGACAATTGCTGCGACGCTGGAGCTGGACGACAGAATGGATGCAATGGCGAAGAAGGACGCATACATCACGCTGAAGGATCATAAAGACAACTTTTCCCGGTCCCTGCCATGCCGGCTCATTAATCCCTCAAAGAGTGAAATCGGCATAGTCTCGAAGTCTATACTGGATACCGCTCTAAAACAACTCCGTCCCCAGCTGCAGATTAATGCATGGAGGAACACGGCAGCGGTGATAGAGTGGTTCTCAAGAATACCAGAGAAAGAAAACTGCATATTCGTGTGCTTTGACATCGTAGATTTCTACCCCTCAATCTCCGAAGACCTCCTCCAGAGATCCGTTGAGTTCGCCCGCCGCTACACGGACATCTCTCAGGAGGAGGGTGACATAATATTCCACGCCAGGCGATCTCTGCTGTTCGGCTTGGAGAGGCACTGGGTGAAGAGACACAACGAGCACTTTGACGTCACAATGGGTGCTATGATGGGGCTGAGGTGTGTGAGCTTGTTGGAGCCTTCGCCCTCGCCATGATAGCGGACGTGTTCAACGGCCGAGACGTCGGGTTGTATCGCGACGACGGCCTGGCTGTGTTCAGGAATGCATCAGGACATGAAGCTGACCGAATAAGAAAGGAGATGAACAAAATATTCCAGAACCCCGGACTGAAGATAACGATACAGACAAACCTGAAGAGAGTCGACTTTCTGGACGTGACATTGGACCTGACCACCGGAAAGTACTGCCCTTACCGGAAACCGAACGACAAGCCGATGTACATCAACTGCCAGTCAAACCATCCACCTACAATCATCCAGAACCTACCTGCATCGATCAGCAGAAGACTAACAGATATTTCCAATGATGAAGACGTCTTCATAGATGCGACTCCGATCTACAGTGACGCGCTGAGGAAGAGTGGATACCGGGAGAACGTACAGTATTTTGACGAGCGTAAAACGGACGAGACAAAGAAGAAGAAGAAAAGGAATCGCCCTCGGAACATCATATGGTTCAAACCACCATTTAGCAAGAACGTCGCCACCAACGTTGGACATCGCTTCCTCCAGCTAGTGGCCAAACACTTCCCCAAAGGCTCAAGCCTCAACAAAATCTTCAACCGGAACTCTGTAAAGGTTAGCTACAGTTGCATGCAGAATATGGCCACTATCATCAAGCAACACAATAACACGATTCTACGACCCAAGAAACAAGCTAACGGAGGTGACAACGATACCAGGACTTGAAACTGTCGGGCGAAAGACTAGTGTCCGCTGGACGGAGCGTGTCTAACGGAGAGTATCGTATATAAGGCAAGAGTCACGGCAGGTATGGAGAAGAAGGAATATACTGGATTAACAGCAACAACATTCAAACAACGCTACTATAACCACCAATCCTCATTCCGCCACAGACAACACGAGAAGGACACCCGCCTATCGCAGTACGTCTGGACCAAAAAGGATGAAGGGAAGGCATGCAGCATTCAATGGACGGTACACCGCAGAGCAGCGGCCTACAGCAACAAAAGCAAAAGGTGCAACCTGTGCCTGGCAGAGAAATAGGCAATCGCGCAAGCACCCAAGCACCTCTCTCTCAACAAAAGGAGTGAGCTTGTGTCGAAGTGTCGCCATGAGAATAGGTACTACCTTCGGAACTTTAAACCAGCTACAGCCATCACCTAATTAAGTAAGAGACAACCAGCTCCAGTGGTTGTCACCTTTCACCACTGCTGTCATTCACGCTTTGCACTGCAGCTATTTACACTTTGCTTTGTGAGGATATAAACCAATACTGATTCAGATTTCCAATTACTGTTTTCTGATGATCGCTTAGTGCGTGAAACTCTGAGTAAAAACACTTCCTCTGTCCTCCTATTGTTTGTATTTCATTCCATTGTGTTTTGCACAATCGAGAGGTGGTGTAACCGTTACACCTTCTTCCGCCTTCCTATCACTGCACACCTATGTACGCGCCTATCACTGCACACCTATGTACGCGCCTATCACTGCACACATATGTACGCGCCTATCACTGCACACCTATGTACGCGCCTATCACTGCACACCTATGTACGCGCCTATCACTGCACAGCTTGTGCGCGCCTATCAGTTGCACACCTTGTGCAACTTCTAGCACTTACTGTTCATGGCTAACCTTGGTACCTGTTATTCTACTTACTGTATAAAACTGCTTCTTTACTAATAAAGAGACGATTATTCCTCAGCTGACTAAGTGAGACGTTTACAGGGACGGTCACAGCAGCGGGAAGCGTGTATAAAACGGGAGTAGCGGAGACAGAAGCGGCATGGACGTGATCATTCTCGACATCCATGTCCGCCTGCTGCATGCTGGTCCAAGCCACACCCTTGCACAGCTTTGCCTCAACTTCTGGGTTCGTCATGGTCGTCAGGCTGTTCGCTATGAACTGAAGTTATGTCTTGTGTGCCTTCGTCAAGACTCACCACTGTATTGTCTTCCTTTGATGCCGCCTCTACCTGCTGAGCGTGTCAACCCTGCTCATCCATTTGAGTTCACCGGTCTGGACTACTTTGGACCATTGCTCATCAAGCAGTCCGACTCCTCCACGACCAAGGTGTGGGTCTGTTTATTCACCTGTTTCGCTGTCCATGCAGTCCATCTCGAGTTTGTGGATGACTATGAGCGTACCTCTCTTCTTCTCTTGGTATGATCATCTCAAGAGCTAGGTGGAGGCTCTTTGGGCACGCCCTTCAGCTCCCGGCGAACTATTCACCATTACTGAGCATGGGAGCGTGCTTCGCAGAGCCTGGTCCAGGGGGCTGGAGGGGACGACGAAGACATACGCTGGAAACGCTACTCGTGACGAGATGATGCCAAGCAGAATGAATTTTCCTTGTCAAGCATAGTCGATCTGGAGACGTTATGGGCCCTTACTGTTGACCGAAGCGGTGGGTGGGCTTCTGAGCCCGTGTGGTGTCGGCACCTTAGTTTTGTCTTCTTTTTGTCTTTTTCTGTAACTGTTGTGGACTTGTGTATCTATTCGAAGTGGCGTATGCAAACACTTTCGGCTGGTTTGCATGATTTGCACCTTCTCCGCAATTCAATTGGTTGTCTTGAAATGCTATGAGGTACAGACATATATAAATAAATAAAAGTGTCGAGGGCTCCCCGTAATTCGCAACGCTGCTACTTCCAAACCAGCTTGTTGCGCACAGTACAAAGTAGTGATAGCGACTTTGGCGATGGTATTTTAGGAAAGGATTTGCTCCCCACACTGGAGCTAGCGCCTCTGCGCCGACTTGACTTGACACTTGACTCGAACTCAGGACCGCTATAATACCATTGAACCTTCGACTGGGCAAACCTGCAAGAAAATTTTGTTGTGCCCGGAGGTGAGAGCGTTGTGAATGAGAGAGGGTCGTCAAAGTCTGTTTTGTTTCGTCCCAGAACGACACTAACTCAGACTGCTATTTGGTGTTCGCTAGGCATTTGTTACGCTGAAAAGTGGGTGTCTGTGCTAAGTTATACCCGTGGTGATGTTTGTGCCTGGAGAACCCTATATAAGTGATGCTCTTCAGCACAATATTCTTCAGCCTACTCAAGCTCAACTGATGAGGTGGAATTTCCCCGAAACGATGTATAGAGAGTGGCGCTTTCTTGCAGTGTTTCCGAAACGAATTAAATGGCCTTCTCGAAACGAAGGTTAAATGGCCTTCGGAAGTGCTCTGGATGGCAGTAGTGGGTAAGTCCAGTATCAAGTCACTGGATAAGCGCAAGCTCCAGCGTGGCGTAAAAACCACCCTTCATAACAAAATACCGCCGAAGTAGCTGCCACTACATCTTCCTTTTTCCGATTATTACCCCAAGTTTGCTCTGATCTCTTTTGTCCTATGTAGATGGCTCAATTCCAATCCTCTTATTCTGACACCAAGTCTCTATGTCAGTTTATATGGTATCGGCACTATCTCCACTAACCCCGCCTGTTCTGGGTGTGTCTATGTTAACTCATGGGTTGCGGTGTACTTGAATCAAGGTAAGCTATGACATTGATGGTGAACATCATAAAATGAGTGCCAAAGGAATGCATGGTACATTGTATGTGGAATTCTTTCATCATCCCCTATTGTTATCAAGATAATATTGATTCAGAACGAGCACCGTTTCAACAAAATTAATCGCTGTGTTTCTAATAAAGGGGACGTGGAGACAATCATCTTAATAATGCAATGAATATAACTCTATTTGCACTCATATCACAACCATGGCAACAAATAAAGTATTATAGAACTTTTTCTAATAGCAATGAAAAGTATGAATGCCGCAGACATCACCACGCAACATGACAATTTGTTCAAGGTTTGGTTTTGTGTGTTTCCAAAATCGATTTTCACGTTGCGATCATCAGTGGAAATACGCAACTAAAGAGATCAAGGGAAGGAGAACATGGATGGTATCAGACGACTGACTGGTGGTGAATATGAGTTGGGTGATGATGCGGCGGATGACGAGAATACAGATGACGTTGAGGCGGATGACGGCGAGGATACAGATGACGACGAGGCGGGTGATGACGAGGCGGCGGATGAAGACGAGGCGGATGACGGTGAGACGGCTGGTGGTGATGGTGATAAAACGGACGAGGAGGAGTCAGGTGGCAGGGAAGGTGATGGAGCTGATGAGGGTGAAATTCGTAAGAAGTCAGCTGTGTATTTGCATTTGTTATCTCGTCCCGATTGTTTGAGTGTGTATGATGATTCCCACTTCTCTGTACTGTGTCGTGCCCGTTATGTCCAGCAGTTGAAGGTCCTTGAAGCTGTTTGTATTCGTACGCATAAGCCCGATTTGTGTAAGCAAAAAGAACATGTTTTAGCACTTAGGTTATTTTCGTGAGTTTGCACCCCGTGTTCATGAGTTGTTTCTGCACTGTTCATGCCCGTTTGTCACACTTACTCTTTATTTTAGTTCTCACTTTTTGTAATACTTACCACAAGTTACCCGTCATGTGTCACACTTCTTTGGATTTTTAACCTTTGTTTTTCCCTTGATCTCTTTAGTTGCGTATTTCCACTGATGATCGCAACGTGAAAATCGATTTTGGAAACACACAAAACCAAACCTTGAACAAATTGTCATGTTGCGTGGTGATGTCTGCGGCATTCATACTTTTCATTGCTATTATTAAACTTTTATCTCCACGTAGAGAACTTTTTCTTGTCACAATTATCAATGGAATTAGTGACTGGAGAGAATTATGAAACTACAATAGAGTTTATACACTTGGAGTGAAAAATCACGAGGATAGAAGAATGGAGAGTAGTAGGGTGGACACACCCATTCCCACAGCAATGCAAGCTCCCGGCTAAATGAAGTCCCCTCACACCAGAACACAGGGGTTTTATAGTATTGAGTATGGAAAGTATTTCGACAAGAGTGTAGACAAGAATGAAACGGAGAACAGGACAACGACAACTCAGACAACACTAGAGATCCACTGGAGCACGCCCTCTTCTATACATGGGTGGCTCTTCTTGCCAAGGGGAACGAGCGGGAAATACGAATAGTGAGTATGTACAGGTCGTAGCATAAATACACCTATTACACTGTGCCCCCTAGCAAAATTTCAAGTCCACGGGAATACCTATGAAACAAACAAAAGAAAACAAGCCAAAATAAACTCAGTCTAGGACATAGCTAGCTAGTCGAGCAGGTGCAGTGCGAACACGGCCAGAACGACCAGAAACAGGAGAAGAAGTACGGACCAGACCAGAAGACGGCAGCTGAAGCGGTGGATCATCATCAGGTAGCGTCAGCGGGTCAGAACAAGAAGTAGTAACGGCGGGCAGTTGACAGTCGGGAGGACGGGATATGGCTTCAGGCAGCCAAACAAACTTGCCACTGGCAGCATCATAACTGAATAAACCCTCAGCCAGAACAGGATTAGACGGAGCAAGAAGACTCTGAGGCTTGAAACAATCAGGTGACGATGGTCCAGGGCAGAGGCCCCAGGAGGACGAACAAAACGGCAGGAGGAACAATCTCAGCAGCCGGAGGAACATCAGCAGCAAGTGGCACTTCAGCAGCAGCTGAAAACGGTACATCACGGGCAATAGGCGGCGGATTTACCAGAGGACACGGCACATCTGTTACCAGGACAGCAGGACATGGCATCAGAATTCCTGTGTCGAGACCCGGGGCGATGAACAACAGTAATGTCGAATGCGGCCAAAGCCTCTATCCATCGAGCTTTCCGACCACGGGGCTCCTTGGTTGCCCGCAACGCAGTTAATGCAAAATTATCTGTCCACGCAGTGAACTCGCGACCTAGCTGATAATGCCGGAAGTGGTTAGCGAAGAAGACAAGGGCCAGGGCTTCGCGATCACTGGCGTCATAGTTTTGTACGATGTTTCAGGTTGTCGCGCACAGCCTCGAGCCGCAGTATGCCGTCGAGGTCCGGGAGTTGCTCCTCTCCCCGCCCGAGGAGACACCCTACACGGTGCTGAAAGGGCTGCTCGTCCAACGGACACAGAAAAGTGAACAAGCTCGTTTGCGTGAGCTCTTGGGCACAGTCGAACTGGGCGACCAGCCCCCCAGCAAGATGCTCCGCCGTATGCAGCAACTTCTTGGCGAGCGGCAACTGGACGCAACAAAACTCCGGGAGCTCTTCGTACAGGGCTTGCCCACTCCCGTCCGGCTCATGCTGTCCTCCACGCCTGCATCGCTCGGCCTCAGTGAGCTCGCCACGATCGCCGATAAGGTTGTGGAATTTACGGCCCCCACCACCGTGTCCGCAGTCGCTACTACTACCAGTATAGCCGCACGTCCCCCCTGCCAAGCCAGCGTGCAGTGCTAGTGACGACCTTTCTGAGTTGCGGACCCAAGTGTCACAACTCGTGGCTGCCGTACAGGCCCTCACCACTGCTTCACCACATCACCCTGCACGGGGACGGTCAGGCGAGCGCAGCTGGGATAGGGCATCCCCACCTCGCCGCCCTGGTCCCAGCCAGTCACGGTCCCCATCCCGTCACCGAGATGCAGGAGGGCGGTGTTGGTACCACCGCCGGTTCGGCTCAGCTGAACGCTCCTGCCGTGCACCATACGTCTCTCTGACATCACTACCTACAACCTAGGCAAAAAGACATAACCTGCCAGCATACAAAGGGAGACGCACAGGGTGTGGCTGATCTGTACATGCGCTGTGTCTACCGCCTACACGGTCTCAGTAAGTCCATTGTGAGCGACCGTGATCCTCGTTTCACTGCCGAGCTTTACCGTGATGTCTTCAAGCAGCTGGGAGATAGCCTCGACTTTTCAACTGCCAATCACCTGCAGACTGATGGTGCAACGGAACGAGTGCATCGGACAATAGGTCAAATCTTACGTTCAGCAGTTAACCATCGGCAGACTAATTGGGAGGAACTTCTGCCGATATGCGAGTTAGCTTACCCTACAGGTGATACTCCATTCTATTTAACTACGGCCAACATCCATTATCTGCTGCAGACGCCCTTCTCCAGGCGGAGGTTTCAACTTGCCATGAGGCGCAATCCTGGGTCAATCGCCAGAAGTCAGCACTGCAAGTTGCAAATGACAGCATCCTGGATGCAATCCGAAGCCAAGAGTTCTATGCCAACCGGAGAAGACGGAACTCAATGTTCAAGGTGGGGATGAAAGGATGATCCACAGGGACTATTATAACCACGTCAGTATCACGAGATCAGCCTTGCGCTAAACTGAGACCACGCTGGTTCGGTCCATTTACAGTCAAGAAGGCATCTGGCGCGACTGTGCGGTTGGACCTCCCAAGAACATGTCGTGTCCATTTGGTGTTCAACAAAGCTGCCCTGAAATAGTTCGTTACTGATGAACTCAGTCCTCAGTCACCAGCTCCACCACCAATAATTGACCTTGCTGGCAAGGAGCGTTTCATTGTCGAAGTAGTTTCTAATAGAATTCACCGCGGAAAGCAGTAGTAATTGGTAAAATGGAAGGGTTACAATGAGCCGACCAGGGAGCCTGTCACCTACTTAATGGATGATTCCGGGTCACCAATCTTTCCCTTGAGGCGGTATCTTCAGAACTCAATTGAATGGGAGGGGAGAAGTGTGATAGTTCTCAACTTTGCCTATTAATATTCATTGCATGCATTTCACACCCCTCTCTCATGCAGACAGTATTCCCACTTCTTTCTTACTTGACACTTCGGTTCTTCTCACATTCTCATTGGTGTTCTCTCTATCACCTTGTGCTATAAAACAAGGCTCTTCTCAGTTGAGAGCGTGTGTTATTTCCAAGCTACTAATCCAATCTATTTCATCAGTGGATGTCATCCATGTATCCGGAGACCATGGAGATAAATACCAAAACTATCGCAATTGTTGCACTTCCCTGTGTTCTATATTACTGGGGTCCATTGTGATCCCGCCCGCATTTTCCGTAATAAAGTGAAATCCATCATGAACCTCTAACCCAGACTATATATTTATCTCGGTTATTGTGTTGTTGAGCAATACATGAAGTTTGAGGGAGATGTGATGCAGCAAAGTAAAATTATTTATAATATCATACCCTGTGGTCCGTTTGGACCCCACGATCCGGAATGAGTGTTAACAGTGAATAGGAGGTTCTCCATTTGGCGATTCAACCTTGCTTACCAGGCTATTCATGCGGCTCATTCAGCCTCTCACACTCAGACAGCTCACTCAGCCTCTCGATACGGCTCACTCAGCCTCCACCACGGGGCCCTGCCCAGCTGCCTGCATAGAGCTCACTCAGCCTCCACCGCGGGGCCCTGCCCAGCTGCCTGCATAGAGCTCACTCAGCCTCCACAGTAGGCCCTGCCCAGCTGCCTGCACAGGGCTCACTCAGCCTCCCCAGCAGGCCCTGCCCCGCGGCCTGCATAGAGCTCACTCAGCCTCCCCAGCAGGCCCTGCCCCGCGGCCTGCATAGAGCTCACTCAGCCTCCTCAGCAGGCCCTGCCCAGCTGCCTGCCATACACAAACATCCGCACAGCTCTAAGCTGTCACTCCTCACTCACTCACTCATTCCGAGCCTGGTAAAGCAATTGACAAACCATTCTATTCCCCAAATTGGTTGCTCGTTATGTGAGTGCGGCATGCAGATGCTTGTGTTAAAGATACAAAACATCTACTAACGAGAGAGGACCTGTACACATGTTTTGCCAGGTACACATTTTATCCCTTGATTCCATGATCCCACCAGTGTGCATATAAACACCAGCACGCCAAGCTACCTCCGGTATTCGTAGTTGCCAAGGATATTTGCATGACGAATTGCGAAACCTGAATCGAAAGACCAAATCAAAATGGTATCATCGAATTATGAAAACGAAATGCCACAAACCGAAAGTCACTACAGTATTCTACTAAACGCGATGTTCTTGTAACTGTTGAGTCCAAACAAGACACCGACAAAGGGAACAAGTAGGTTGGTGGAACGACATTTATAAGAGACGGGATGACTAAGACCAGACGAACGAGACGACTACATGGTGATTATTGAAGAGGGAGATTATTGAAGAGAGCTTATTGAAGAGAGAGCAACGCAATATAAAGGGCCTGGGTAGCTATGGCAAACATGGACGCGCAAGTAGCTACCCAGGCCAAATTAATAATGCATGAACTAATGAATTATATGAATTAATATATTACTACCTCCGACAAGCGAAACTTGGCGCGTTTTTTACTTCAAATTACTCGAAATAACTCACACTTTACAATCAAGACTAATGATTGACTCACCAAAATACAACTTCGTATTGCTCAACAAGGACATTAGAGACATCAGTTAGGCTGAATCACTCTCCTCTGATTCAGAGATCGCAGTTTCGTCTGGGGAGGAATTGTCCCTGTTTTGAGACGAAAGCGCGACTAGAGCGGATTCAGTTGCCGCAAGTATCTCTGTTGTGATCGCTCTGGAAATTTCGATGTCGCTCCTGTGCTTGAGCCACGGTGTCGACCCTCGGTGTCGAGGGTCGTCATTTCCGCCACCACTATCCGGGTTGACTTGGTAAGAACTGTGCAACACCTCCACACGCGCCTGGACTGCAACATTTTTGCCGGGTATTCTCGCCAACTGTCCAAAATTGCAGGCAGCATTTCCTGGCTCTTTTCCTTAGCCACCGGAGACGCATGGCTTTGAAGGCTATTGAAAGACGCTAGGATTATTTAGCATGGACGTATGGACTCTGTGCTGGCTGAGTGATCAAGTGAAGAGAGAGAGAACTCCTTGGTTTTGCATTGAAACGCGAAATCACGACGATTCTCCTTCGCAGAATGGACACGCGGCGCGCGCGCACTGTTGTGCTGGTACACGAGAGACTGGCCTGCTTCTGACTAGTCGAGCCATGTGCCACTCACCAGCTCGTCGCATGGCTTCCTGTACCCAGTTGCATGGAGTATACGCGTACTTCACACACACAGCCTTGTGAAGTAACTTGTGGTACAAACACAAAAAAATAAAAAAAACGCGCCAAGTTTCGCTTGTCGGAGGTAGTAGTAGAAAGGAAAAGGACATAATTATGGAAACGAGTTAAGAGTAACTCTCCACCACTGTAACTAGATACTATATACAGTCAGAAAGTGCAACAACTAGGCACAAAACTGACAGAGTACTGAGACATTCGACGTCCTGACACCTAGCTTCAACACATCTCCGTAGCGCTAACCGACAGCCTTCCAACTTGGAAGGTTCAAGGTTATGGAAAGACCGAAGAGGGGAAGGCAAGCGCAACGAAAACGAGCACAAGCTACAGTTCCAACTTTTCCTTTCTACTTTTATTATTGGCTCAATACCCGAGTTTCAAATTAATATATTGTAATTACTTGTGGGCCTAACATAACAATGAAGGACAAGTTAGGAATAATAACTAGTAGTTTTCCATGACGTACGTTCTGCCCTATTGCGGGTGACGGACAGCTGATCAGGTGTGTCTATTTAAACGCGGATGGTGAACCAACACAATACGTAAAGACGAGAAAAGGACCAATACGTGACTAGTTATGACTAACAGTCCACCAAGGTAACGGTATCTTTTACAGTCAAGTAGTGCGAAAATAACGCCTAATTGGAGCCTTCCAAGTTGGACGGTTGTTCGTTAGCACTTAGTAGATGCTTTGGAGCTAGGTGTCGAATGTCTCAATATCCTTGTTATTTTTGTTTTGTTTTGTTTCTTTGCTGTAGTAGTATAAGTTATCTTTAACTGTTATTCATAACTAGTAACTTATTAGTCTTTCCTATTTTGTAGGACACATTTCAGGCTCTTGAACCTTTTTGAAAGTTTTCACGTGTATAGTTTCACGCCATATCAGATGAGATACAGGCAACATCCAACGAACATGGACAATGGATTAAATAAAGTAGAGAGGTGATAGAAACAGTGCAAGGAGGAAGGGCAAAACAACATTTCTATTTAATTCCCGTAGCTATGCAGAAGACGTTACTTCAGTAACGTCTGGCGCTAGCCAGGGTCCACACAGCTTTAATTTGGTATTTGTTTGTTTGTGTGTTTGTTTGTTTGTTTGTTTGTTTGTGTCACGCCTGGCGCTATCCGTATCTGACGGCAAAAAATCATAGGATGTTATAAATTTTTCAATTCTCCTTTTTTTTTCAGGCATATCCTGGGATTCGAACCCGCACTATCGCCCTACATGCATTCCCCCATACACTTCGCATTCATACCCATTCTTCCAAGTTGCTTCACGTTAATCTTGCGTTTGAAAGCCCTATTTGAATATTGCGGGCAGCTAGACGGTGTCGTATTACCCTCGATCGTACCTGTCCCGTACCTATTCCCTACCGTACCGTGCCATCAAAGATGGCTGGCCACAATGCATATTCAAATAGGGCTTTCAAATGCAAGATCACAATGTGAAACAACTTGGAAGAATTAGTATGTATGCGAAGTGTATCGGGGGCTGCATGCAGGGCGCGCGATAGTGCGGGTTCGAATCCCAGGTTTAAAAAAAAGGATTTTTTTAAAGAAAACATCCCTATGCTTTTTTTTGTCTAGGTCATCAAGGCAAAAAAGCATAGCGCAGGGCCCTGAGCTTCCAAGCTCTCTCGTCCATTGTCCGCGGTTTGATGATCAGGCATGAAAATGTATTTCGTATTAGTGAAAACCTTCAAAATGTTCATGGGCCTGAAGGGTGTTCTACTTCAAAGTGTCAGGCAGGTGTGTCTTGACAGTGTTGTGTCAAATTAAATCTCGTCTATTCATGTCTTATGCTATCCAGTGTCAAAGTCCTGTGCACCTGGACATTTTCAGAAGTTCAACAATAACGGAAGCGTTGACTACTACTGCCGTTGTAATGAGTCCGTAGCAGTTATTACGCCAAATTGTTCATCACCTGGATACACATGCCTGGCAAATGGACAATTTCCAATTTGTTTTGGATACACACAATGCCAAAAAGCAGGCTCTACTTACATTTGCACTTGTGAGGACGAATTAAGCCTGAATCAAGCCTACTGTTACGTATCTGAAGACTGCCAAAACACAGTAGAAGACTGCGGAAATGGAAACTGCATCATGAGCTACTCACCTGAATCCCGAATAAATAGTGAGTACAATTTGAGGGAAAGTACATGGATCATGGATAATTTAGACTAAAAGTCATTAATTCTGGGCACTGAATGGGATGTCCGCTAGTAAGACCAGCCAACTACTATGACTGGGGTATTTTATTTTACTTCCTCACATGAACAGGGACCGATGCCTTCTCAACAGACAAATGGTCTGGCTATTAGAAAATGGTGATGAACTTTAATGAAACATTATGAATGAATAAAAAAGGTTTCAGAGCAGACTCGCTCTCTTCCCATACACTCTGCAGACTCGAACTCGTTTAATCAATTTTTTACGTTTCGCCAAAATTGCCCTCATCAGGTACGCAATGGTGTGCAGGTTTGCAAAGGAGCAGTTATATACGGGTGTTAGCGGCCGTCGTGAGTTCCCTTCGGGAACGGACACGATAATTTACTCTTTTTTTTACATGCAATTTGTGATGCTATGAAGTATGATATGTTACATCGCACCCACCGTGACGTGCCAGAATCATAAAGATAATGATGTGGCATGCGCTACTTGATGTACCAGCCTGTTATTCTGGATACCGCCAACCTTGCATCGACCAGGCGCCAGGCGCGAACTGATGGTGGTGGTGGTGAGAAGGAGAGCTCTGTGCTAGAACTTTGCAGCCTAGAGAGCGTGTGTGGGCGGGCGTGTGTTTACCGCCATATTGCCGGGTGTGTCTTTACCACGATATTTATCAAAGATAATGATACCTCAAAGAAGTATAATGACATAGCTACTTGTAGTTCGCAGCTGCAGAGAGAGAAGAGCACGCGGAGAACCGTCTGCTGCTACAAGAAAGCAGACTGGCGTCCCCTAAAACACTTCTACCGAATCACAGATTGGGAAGCATTGCACTCACCTGCTGTTGATGAATAAACCCGGGCGGTGACTAGCCACATTTTTTCTGGTATGCAAAAGTTCATACCATCTCGGAGACTTATAGCACGCCAATCTCATAATCCATGGTGGACACTGGGATGCTCTGATGCTGTCAAAGAGAAGCAAAGAGCTTGGTGGCATTGCTTATCAGAGCACATACAAGATAGCCTGCACAAATGACCGCCTCCGTATTTCTGCTGCAAAGTGCTGCAAAGGTGTAACCCACCACCTCGACCAGCATTTAAACCATCCAACACGCCCGGTAAACAAAGCTAACCTTTCCAGATGCAATCACCACTTGCTCGGACAGCACCGAACTAACTGCTGAGGTCATTCCCCTACACCATCAATGCGGCATCGAATGACATTCCTGAGCAGGTCATCCCGGAGCCTTCTGCATCGAAGGGAATGCAGGCCTTCAAGGCACCCATTTGCCAGCACATGATGCGCCAGTATTGATTGTGGGCGACAGCATTCCATGCTGAAGCGATTTCGCGGGTGGACAACACTGACACGCATCCGCATTGAGTTGGTTTCGAGAGTCGGTGTATGCTGAAGGCCTCCATCGCCATCAGAGCTTGTGCAGCTGTCAAGGAATCACCATCATCCAGCTCCTGGCCAGGTCAGCACGCCAGGTCCTGTTGTCTTCGTTTGTCGCGTTAGTTCTTTCCAAATATTGTACTTTGT